CCCCGCATCGTATGTCTATGTATATATATAGAGAGAGAGCTCACTGGGGCAGGGGCAGCGCCCTATAGGTCTAGATATATATAGTAACATATTCTAATTCATACCATCTCTTGGGGGGTTGCAAATCTCCGTCTAGGAGAGGCAACGACAACCATAATCGCACTAACAAATAATAAACTTGACAACATTGATTTCCAAGCCATGATCACAACTTACTAAACAAAAAAGTTAAGCGGTTAGAAAATCAGTAAACACTAGTCCAAATTAAGTATAACACTAGTCCAAATTGATGTTTGTGCATCCACACCGGGCAAACTGAAAAGTTTGCCTGACCACGATGCAGGGAATCATTCAAACCCGCGACCTTTGCGATATTAGCCGGTCAATGAATGCTCTAGTTAATTCCCTCAAACATTTCTTACAAATCCTTCAAAAGTTATAGAACTTACCTATATATACATGCAAAATTCCTATACTGCACATGTAATGATAGAAATTTTGATGTAAACCAGACCTTACTCAACAAAGCAAAGATTGTTTTCCACAGTACAAGTTTAGTATTTCTTCCTTATCGCGACATTGTGGGAGGTTTTCGCGCAGATGGACAATTTAGCACTAATTTATTCTATACACGCTCAAATACAAGTAACACTTTAACGCCAACGCTAAAATCTCACATTGATAAATAATAAAACATTTCTGATTGTTGTTAATTTATATACATTTACCATACGCGTTACGGAGTTTGGAGATGATATTGCTACCAATTATAATTTTTACAAATTTCTCTAACTGACAGGACGCTTATTAATCAAAATGTTGAATACTTGATGCTGCAATTATTCAACGCAATTTTTATGTCGAAATTTTGACAATTAAGAAAATTTTTATTTATATATATTGCAGGATAATCCTATCTTATAAATAGATTATTTCCTTGTCCTTTTACTTATACAGGGTTTACAAAAAAAACAGTTTTCATATTATTACCTTTATACAGTATAGGTTTTATGTTTTCGTAATTATAAAGATCAGGCTCTTAGCTGTCAAATTACACCTTGCAAATGAATCATCGTGATAAAAAATGACCAAATTCGGATTTAATTAAAGTAGTCGGTTGAAATTGCATTTTTCCACTTCTATAGGATTTAAATGCTCTTCCAATTTTAGAACATTCGCTCAAATGTTTGTTGCTCATTTGGGAATCGTATATCATTGCGAGTTCGGTCTGCAAGCTTCCAGTTCTGTAAAATGTTTTAACCACTCAATTTTGGTGCAAAATTGCAAGTAGAAATTTATCAAAACAGTTAAGCTCAGTTGGCAGAGCATTGGGCTAGTATTCCAAAGGTCGTAGGTTCGATTCCCACCGTGGTCAGGCATATTTTTCAAGCTTGCCCGGTGTGAATATACACTCAGAGTAACATCACATCACATCACATCATGACGTTTATACATATAATACACATGCGTTGAGCCATCTTGATTTAAGCGACTTAAATTTGAATCTACATATATACTGTATATACAAGCTCCTGGACGGTCATGATTTGTTTCGTCAGTATATCTGCTGTTATTAAATTCTAAGCTGACTTTTTTGTATACAGAATCATGTGTAGGCAGGCAATTTATCCCAAGCGTTAATTGAAACATTAATATATTAAAATCTGTCATCTTTGTTGGGAAAAACTGAGGGGTCTAAATTAGTTTTTGTTATGAAAACTGTATTAATATTTAACATGTTACTTACCATTTAACTAAACTATTCTATAGAAAGCTTCCATAATATGTTTTCAGAATAGCGGCAAAATAAACTTAGTGTTATTTTCCTTTTCTTTGAGGTAGTGAAATATGTTTTTAAAGACGCTTTTAAAAGGTATATTGTTAAACGAGCCCCGCTGCTAAATAACTAAGTGTGAAAATAAAACGACGCTGTTATATTTTGCACGAAAGCCAATATTAAACAATGTGATATATATACATGATCGAAGATTTCAATTCTTATAATTATTAAAATTCAAATATTAATATGATTTAGTTTGCCCCACAGGAAAGCGTCTTGAATAAATTATGATAGCGTGGAATTACCTGGAACAACCACGGCTGCTTATTGTAGAATATACTACCTATACTGGAGCATCACGTTTGAGATACCTTTTCAGGTAGTTCAGACACAAACCACGGCAGCTTATTGTAGAATAGTATACCTACACTGGGCATGCCATTGTTTGAGATTTCTAGATCAGGTAACTTAGACCGGCATGCACAAACCATGGCAGCCTATTGAATGTTGTAGAATATAGTACCTACACTAAAGCCACAATGTTGAAAAAATTATTTATGGACCTTTATCATTCGATCTGAAAGTGTTTTTGGGTAGGGCTTAAGGATTTTAAATAATAATCCGATTTCAAATTTACAGTTCAGAAATCAACAAGGTATAGATAGCTTTATATCTTTAAGTTACTTTACCGATAAAAAGTAAATTAGTGGAACTTAAATTGGTCGTAATCCAAAAGATGAGAAAAGATTATATATTTATCGTATAGTTTGAACTTTTCATTTATTGTTTCCTAAAACCTCGTTTTTACTGGAAACAAGAATGGTAAATCAGTCTTATAACCGTCCCTTTTTCACACTTAAAAGTTCACAATATTTACTTTTGCTTCTGGAATATATGACATGTACATTTTTAAGGAAAGCTAATGAGTAATGTGGGCCGCAGCTGGTTCCCTGTGTAACACCAATAGGAAAACGTTCTTAAAAGTTAAGCGCTGCGTTTCAGTGTCGCGCTTTACGTATATACCTTTGTTTCTATATATTATCAATATCATATAACCACTCTTCTGCATATATGATCTGAGGATGTGTCAAACACAATGTGTCAAGAACCTCTAGTGAAGCCGGTTATACAGACGAGCAAATTTTCTATGACACATTTTCATATGGGGGCAAGTTTTATTTGCATGTCAATTGCCTGTGGGTATATGTACAACAAATAACAAATTTTCAACAACAAAGTTTCTAGTTTTCTGACCGATAAAATACAACAACATTTATAACCGCCCAAACTCCATACAATGTGCTCAGATTACTTTGTCAAATTTTCTTTGTTGACCCACAATACGAGCAAAATTTGTACTTTTCATTATTTGCCTTGTTTTTTGCTATGACAAATGCACTTGTTCAAAAGCTAGTTACGCTAGCTAATGAACAAGCATTCTTGTCATAGAAAAACTTGGAAAAATTGCCTGTATATACAGACGGGCAAATAAAACTTCTCATATGGAAACTTTTCATAGAAAACATGCTCGTCTTTAACCAGCTTGACCTCTTTCCTGATCGTATCGGTCAGAATGCAATGCGTTGAAAAACATCTCAAAAGTGTTTGTTTATTTGGCGTACGCGATTCAAGGGCTCTGCAGTTACACCTCAAAAGGCTGTTGTGATGGAACGCCATAGTTGTGCCACCTACGACGCGCTAAAATACTGATCTAAGCCTGATATTTCAACCGCAAGTGTTGTTGAAATACAGCTTCAAGTGCTGAATCACACGTCAACGGGAAAATGTCACGCATTTTGGCTTGCCAAGACTCCAATTTCCTATAACGCCAATATTATAACCCGCCCGAAAATTCGTCATAGGTTTGCGTCATTCAAATTCTTGTTTTGGATCAAGAAAGAATAGGAAAATGTTTTTTAACATGCACCCTTGTATAAGATAACTCAGAACGAAATAAAAGTTACATTATATGAACTGTATATCAAAATATTCACGACGCGCTTGACATTCACTGCATTCTGAAGATTCTCTCTTCAAATGAATAGATTACCGCTCCTCTAGCCATTGCCGAGGCCATGGCTAGTATTATAAGTATTTTGCATTTGACTATAACAACTAAACTATAACTTCACACTGCATCAACTCTATTTTTTTCCCTAAAGGTTCAGAAAGACCCTGCAAGCATCCCTTTCCATCCGAAGGAAACCTAAACTAATTTATTTATATTTGATAGCTGCATCCATCCTGCACTGATATCATAGAAGACTGTTCTAGACTGCTCTTCCTATTTTAAATGCACATGGACAAATCACTTTGAGAACAACGCTTGTTCCATGCTATATATATATATGAATTGCGCATTGCACAGTCTGCCAGCCAAGGCAAGAATTTTGAAATGATTCAAGTGAATGAAATATAATTCCTAATCCGTCTTATCAACGCATTCATCAAAATCCTATAAGTAATAAAAATCTCCAAATACAATTTGGAATAGCTCATTGTGGATAGAGTTTAAAATAATATCACTTACCTTTAGGGATTTTAACTTTGATTTTGTTTCGTAATTTGTGTTATACTGCGCTCGACTTCGATACTTTACGCCGGTTGACTCTTTCGCACGACTCTCAAGTGTGAGTAACTGAAAAGGAAGTAAACAAAGCGCGCGTATTTATACAAGGGTCATTCACAGGCATGGCACGTAGTATAGAATGGACTCATTGTTTCTGGATTCACATTCAGTGCGGGATGAGAACGCTGAGCGGCGAGAAAAAAGCCAAGCGAGTATGAACTCGTATGTCATTGAGCATGCCGTACCAAAGCCATAGATATCTTATATACACTAGATAACGCATCTCTTTTAGTAAAATTGAAGCCAAGAATATTCCAGCGGTTACCCCCATTTGAATAGATGGCGGCCATGTTGGTAGTTCTCACTCGCTAATAAACGCTTAAAAAACAACAATAACTTTCATCATTTGAATAGTTTAAAAATATATTTGGAGTATGTTTAACTTGATGTTTAAGTTCCCTGTGTAAAAAATAGAAAACATGATATCCTGAGACTGCAATCACGGATCAATTTTTGAATTGCAGAATATGATTAGATGTACTATCTAGTGTATATAAGATATCTATGACCAAAGCCTGTACAGAATAAATGTCCATACAGCAAAAATGTTTTCCAGACAAATTTCAAATTATGTCTTGTTTCTCATGTGTTACTTTTGCTTCCTATAGTTTGTCCGCCTTCTTGAAACATAGCTAGGTAACAAAACGATGTTTCCTGGTTTGTCCACCTTCAGGAAACCTGACTAGGAAACAAAACGATGTTTCCTGGTTTGTCCACCTTTAGGAAACATGGCTAGCGGGAAACAATATTTCCTTGTTTGTCCAATGGCTAGGAAACAATATTCCCTAGTTTATCCACATTCAGGAAATCTGGCTAGGAAACAAAACATGAATGTTTCCTGGTTTTCCCACCTTCAGGAACATGGCTAGGAAACAATGTTTCTTGATTTGTCCACCTTCAGCAAACATGACTAGGAAACAATGTTTCCTGGTTTGTCAACCTTTGGGAAACATGGCTATGAAATAATGCATGATTCCTAGTTAGTCCACCTTTGGGAAACATGGCTAGGAAACAATGTTTTCTGGTTTGCCCACCTTTGGGAAACGTGGCTAGGAAACAAATGCGGAATGTTTCGTAGTTTGCCCACTTTTGTCTTTGGGGACATTGCTTTGAAAACAATGTTTCGTAGTGTGCACATCTTCTGGAAAGGTTATTTCCTGATTTGCCAACTTTGGGATACATGGCTAGAAAATTACAATGTTAACTCAATAACTCGCTTTCAATGCAAATACCAGTGAATCTAGTAACATGTTTATGAGTCCATGTTTTGTGACATCTCGTTGCTGACAGCCAAGAGTCTAATATTTCATCATGAAAATTGACGGATATGTTTTAATGCATTCATTAAAATTAATTTCCGTCAATTTAGCCAATCAGTATTTATTATTGCCACAATATATACATCCTGTGTTTAAAGTAACCGCGGTTGTAATTTCGGGCTATGCCGAGGCGTGCTTTCAATTAAGCTAGCCATGGATGAAAAATAAACCTTGCTTTTGATTATTCAGAAATATTGGGGGCTACAATAATAAGTAGAGTTCTAGAGCTTACTATATTGAAATGGATTGCAAAATTATTTTCCATGGAACTCCAAGTGAGAATCATCCCGTATTGATCCAGTATTAATATGGAATGAAACCTAAAAAGCTAAACTAAACTAACTTTATTTTTACCGGGTAGCTTTAGCTTAGATCTATAGAGGTTCAATAGAAGATGTTCAATGAGGACATGTCTAATTATTGCTCCAGTATTTATATACCAAAGGAGAAGATCTAAACTAACAAGATAAGTCTATCAGTTCTAAACTGTTCTCCTTAGTGGTCCAGCAGTTCCAGTAAGCCCCATCCCTTGTCAGTCTATAAAATACAAAACAAGCGAAACTCCAAAGATCGATAACATTGTTATATTTATCCAAAGATCGATAACATTTTTATATTTATCTACGTTTCGACTATATTTCAGTCATCATCAGGATAAACTAGCCAGATTATACATCAAAAGCAGTATTTTGTTAAAATACTCAGTGGTTCTAAAAAAATTTTTGTCAGTCTATAGTGAGTATTATATACAAGGGGAAATTGGGAACTAACTTTATATATTATGCATACATGCAAGGCTATTCAAGGAGTTCCATGCATCCCTTATATATTGATCCAGTGTTACAAAGGATGAAACCAATGTATCTCGAGAAATCTATGGAATCAAACTCCGTCACATATCCAAGTTATTGGATATTTTGTGGCCACTTAACCTTTGAGACTATAAAAACGTATTAAAATTTAATTTCTTCAGTGCTAATCTTAAAAATGTTAAAATATTCAAATAACACAGATGTGACGATTTAGTTTCGGCTTTTCGCTTTGGCAAATGTCTCCGAGGGCAAACGACCTTATACTCAGGTTAAAGCGACCTGTGATTTAAAGTTCTTATTCTCAGAAGACTTGAAGGACCTTGAAGGTCAACCAGATACAGATTTTTCGAATTTTAATGAAGAAGACACATATTTGTGCCATATTTGTTACACAATTTCGTTTCAGTCCCATGCGAGAGGAGTACTTTGAGTTTGACTCTGCCAAACAACGAAAGTGTTCCTCTAACCTGTCTGGTTTTCGTCCTGCTAAATAATACTGCAACAAGAGATGGACCTCTATTGAAAGATGAAACTCATAGAGCTATCCAGTATAAATATAGTCAATCGAGTTCATGCAGGTTTCTGTAGACTGTAAAACAACACTGGATCAGCATGTGATGACCTCTGGACAGTAATAATAAACATAGTTTAGTTTAGGTTTCCTCCTGTAGTAACATACTAGGATCAATATATCACTCAGTGATGACCTTACTGGACCTCTATATAGGGAAAACAGTTTAGAACTATAATAGAACTATCTATAGTATAAATAAAGATAGTTTAGTTAGGTTTTCCTGTAGTAACACAGGATCAATTAATATATCACCCAGTGATGATCTTACTGGACTTCTACTATAGGGAGAACAGTTTTGAGCAAATAGAGCTATCTAGTATAGATAAAGATAGACAGTCCAGTTTAGGTTTCCTCCTGTGATAACACAGGATCAATATATCACCCAGTGGCAGTGATGACCTTACTGGACCTGTAAGGAAAACAGTTTAGATCTAATAGAGCTATCTAGTGTAAATAAAGATAGTTTAGTTTAGGTTTCCTAGCTCTTGTAGTAACACAGGATCAATATATCACCCATGCAGTGATGATGACCTTGCTGGACCTCTAGGGAAAACAGTTCGTAGAACAGATAGAGGCGCGATCAATATGATGATGACCTTACTGGACCTCTAGGGAAAACAAGTACGGTATAGAATGAATAGAACTATCCAGAAGTTTATTACATTTCATCCGATAAATTTAAATGGGTACTTGGTTGGTCGAATTATACGAAACTATTACGTATTGCCATTCATTTGGAGGCAATTCGATAGAACTGATACTTGATGAATGATGGTTACTGGGACTTACCTTAATTCTTAAGACTTAAACTAAGCTTCCCCAAAAAATTTCATTCGACTGCATGCCAGCCCAACCACTTTTGAAAATATCTCAACGAATCAGACCTACTCCTTATAAAATAATACAGCCTTCAGTACAAGTCCAATTTGCATTTTTTATTCGTGCAATCAGTGTTATCTTGTTCCGGACTATAATATATTAGATCAATGACACTAAATCCTGATGGAAATTATTATTAGAAGGGTTGCTTTCCAGTTAAGCGTTTTTCATATATACGTGCGTTTCTGCACAGAAACGTTTCAATCTGTCTGAATTTTATATGAAGTTTAAATCACCTCGACAAATACACATGTTACAAACAAAACTAAATTCTGTTAATACTCGATTTAAACTTTTCCTATATGACAAACGCTTGACGGGAAAGCAGCCTTGGCCAGGCTTAAGATTGTTTATTGTACACCTCGCCCATAACTTAACACGTCTATATTTCTTTTATGTAAATTTAGAAAGTTTTTAAATTACTTTCAAGCGTCAATGTGTGATAAATGATAGAAACCAATGTTTTTGGTAATGAAGAATAAAATAATTTTCACCTATCTTGCCCAGACGTATGTGGACTGTTGTTGTTTTGTCTTTGTGGACATTTATTTATTTATTTCGCAGAGGTCGATTTATATAGTTCTTGCAATATTATAACCCCAAACAATGTCAATGCATGAGTTTACATCATTAGAGGTGGCACACCTTCCTTTCTATATTAGGACTGCAGCGTAAAACAGGGCGTAAAGTTGACGTATGCATGTGCAGAAGTACATACGCAAGTGTTTCCTTTAAGTTCGCCTTAGCCCTTATACCGTCCTAAATTAAGCTCCCCGTCAAGTTGAGAAGCGAGTTTTTTCAACGACGTATTGTATAACATTAGCGAGCTTGTTCAAGCGACGGAACTGGATTAAAAACTGTGTGTCCGTTTGTGGTAATCTTCATCACATATAACAAAACACAAGATTTTAAAAGTTTTTTTGTTTCCTTAGACGAGCTCTATGATACAAAATGCCGCCAAAATTAGTTATACCAGTTAGTCCATGTTGACAAAAATGTCGCTTTGCTCAAGCTCGTTCATTTACGTGTGAGTTTGATAAACGATATAAGGCACTGTAAGTTATGCAAGCATCTATACAGTACGGTCTAAATTATTAGACTTCAAATGAATTTCTCGCACTGTTCATGGGAATGCTCTAAGTCCTCTAACCAAGGCAACCTCGTACCCAGGCGCGTAGTGGAAAGAGCCCGGGTACGAGGTTGTAACCAAGGGCGCGAACGTCCATGGAAATGCCTCGATTGGACACATTTGAGACCTCGCAAACTTCATTGTTTTTCATAATCTGAAACACAAACTGGACGGCCATGTGCTGTACTATAGAGTATGGTGAGGTTTTTATTTGACTACCACAACCATTAAGGGACCATTAACCAATCAGATGCGTTTAATCTACCCAATTAACCAATCAGATGCGTACTTAGTCAGTAAAGGGTTGTGGTAGTCAAATCTGAAGGCTGTAGTGACAGTGTA